TGGGTGTGGGTTGATTTCAACCATTATTTGTTTGTTTATTCATTACCTTTGTCCTCAACGCAACCTAAAAGGCATCACAAGATCTCATGAACTCAGGCTCTAATTCGAGTGTGCAATCTCTTCTCTTAGCTGAACATGTAAAACTGCATGACTTCAGTATGGTGAAGATCAAAAACAGTCAGCCATGGTAGTCTGTCTCAGCATGTTGGCAAAAGTGAAAGGGAGAGAGGCGAAATATTGCAGCATTTAAAAAACTAATAAATTTATTTCAAAAAAATCAAAGCTGTGTGGTCCTTACACAACACAATGCAGGAGTAGGAGATACCTTTATTAGATCATTAAAAATCATACAATCAGCTAGGTTTTGTGGATCAAAGCCCACTTCAGGCATGTACTGGTGGCTTCTAAGTGCAGAAAATTTAGAATCCCAAAAGTTCAGCATAAACTTTCATGGATAAAAAATCCATTACTTCAAGTACAGGAGTGCAAATACATCTCCCTTATATTTATTTTGTAGTGAGATTCACTGAGGATATAGGTAACAGGCCAACTGAAAATGGCTCGTTAACATAGGAATGGGACTACCAAGCTGTTAACTATTAGATTCTATCCAGGGCGATAGACTAGGTAGATATCACTGTCACAAGAATGTTGCTCTTGTCCCCAAAGACTTGTTTAACATCTACAGTAACATGATGAAGAAAAGACCTGGAGAACTCAAAAGCCTGCACAGTATCATTTGATCTTTTATGTTAGCCTAATAAAGATGCTGTCCTAAAAAGGATCTTTGGTACCTTTCTTCTTTCATTGTATGTTATTTTATTTTAAAATCTGTATCAAAATCTAATTGTTTCTTGCAACCGGCCCAGAGAACTTTGGCTTACAAGGCAGCATACAAGCATCATCAGCAGACGAATCACTTAGCAAAGAGATGAATGTTTTCCAATTAGTGCAAATTGTTACTTTATCATAGTACTTCCTGTATCCACTGCAAGACCTCTTTCCCTGGAGACGTCCTCATCTTTTACCCAGTGGGATTTTAATTCTGAGCTGTGTTTCAGTGAAAATCAGATAATTTAACCTGTCTTCAATGTGCCAAGAGAACAACCCATTTAATGATGCAAAGATACAATGTCACTTTTCATGCCATCTTAAAAAGCAGCCTTCTACATATTGGTGCCTTCCAGATGTGTCGTGACTACAAGCCTGATCATCCCCAGCCAGTATCGCCAATGAGGGATGGACATAATGGGAAGTTATCATTTAACCCAGTAGCCTAAATCCAATTGTTTACTTTCAACTACAGTACTGACTACAAGCCTGATCATCCCCATTCAGTATCGCCAATGGTGGATGGACATAATGGAAAGTTATCATTTAACCCAGTAGCCTGAATCCAATTGTTTACTTTCAACTACAGTACTCCAAAGAATCAGTGGAGCTAATGTAAATATTGACGTGCCACATTCTCTTGGATTTTGTGGGTCTTTTCCACATGGAGCTAGCAACCCAATATAGGTCATGGATGTAGGTGGAAGTGGGTAGGCAACAACATCTGGAGGCACACAGATTTGGTTTCCCACCCCAATATGTTCAGTTTCTTGTAGAAGACCTGAGCCAGAAGGACAGAATGGATGTATTCCTGTCAATTCTACCAGATTTTGTAGAAGCTTTTGAAGATGGTTCTTTTCGAGACCTCCTGTCTGAAGTAAGTAGGATCAGGGGCACAATGCTTGTAATTGATTTTTGCCTAGACTGTGATTCTGTCTATGTTATATGTGATAGCACAAAAGTCCAGGCAGGGCAGGGCCTCATGACCTGAATGCCACAGAACTGACTCTGTTCTGAAATCAATGATGATCTCAGGAACAGAAGCCTCTTATCTCCTATATCTATTACAGCAAACTACCATGGTAAGTGGGACTAAAAGATGTCTGAAAGAACAAGAATCAGCATGATGCCCTCCTCTGTAGCTCCCCCCTAACAGAAATAAACCATAAGGGCAAGCAAACTAGTTTCCGTATTGTTATGTTCAACCAAAGTAACACTATTGAGTGAGATCATAAAGGGAACTGGGATGTGGTGTCATAAAAGAAATGTTTTACTCAGCTCTGTCTCTTTCCCCCACACCGCACTGAGATGAGTAATGAGGGCAAAACAACAACAACAACACAGCTTAAGCTAGGCAAGATGGAAGCACTGCCAACTGACGAGAGCACCTAACTAAGAGATTAGGAGTCAACGTACTCTGACTAGTTCTGAACTCTTTCTTAAGAGACAGGGTGTGCAGGAGTGCTTTTGAAAATTCCTAAAGACTTTTGCTGGTATTGCTGTGGCTTAACTTTGTGGCACACCAAGCATTCAGATAGGTCCACCCTATGTACTATTATCCCTTGTAGGCAACAGTTATATAGTGACAGAAAAGGGCAAAACTGTTAGTTATTCCATCTGTCATATTACTGCTAGGGATTGGGGGGCAGAGGGGTGTTACCACGTATTTCTACCTCCTGGAGCAAAACAATGAATATGGTGCACTTGACTGAGGTGAGCATGGACCTAAGGCATCATAATGATTTGGGACAGCCATGAAGAAGTTGAGACCTGAATCACAAGCTCACAAGACCTTGCCCACTTTAGCGTTTAATGTAGCTCCTAATGTTGGACTAAGACCTGAAAATCTGGGTTTGGATCCATGCTTGACCATGAGACTCACTGGTGACCTTGCTCCAGTCACTTTCTCTCAGCATGACCTACCTCAAGAAATTGCTGTGAGGGCAAAGTGGGGAAGACAAGAGACAGGTTTGCTACCCTGTGCTCACTGGTGAAATGGTGGGATATAATCCACCCTGAGCTCTCACTGGAAGGACAGATCCTGAAGCTGAGGCTCCAATACTTCGGCCATCTCATAAGAAGAGAAGACTCCTTGGAAAAGAGCCTGATGTTGGGAAAGTGTGAAGGCAAGAGGAGAAGGGGACGACAGAGGATGAGATGGTTGGGTAGTGTCATTGAAGCCACAAACATGAATTTGACCCAACTCTGGGAGGCAGTGGAAGACAGGAGGGCCTGGCATGCTCTGGTCCATGGGGTCACGAAGAGTCAGACATGACGTAATGACTAAACAACAACAAAAACATAACATCCATCCAACCATTCTAAGGAGACTGATTGGAACAGATGTATGAGATGGCTTGATTTCAGAAAGGAGGATAAATGGCTTACTCAGCTCTGTGACATCCCAGTCATGAGGCCCTGCAAGATTCCAGCATGTTCTCCGTGCTATGAAACCACTACTGTTTGTTTGTTCAATTCCCTCCAACCAGCATGTTGTTTCAGTTATTATCTCTATTCAGGGAACATTCTCTCTGTGGCAGCTTGTTTCAAGATGAATGTAGAAACTTTTCACAGAGTTTTATCCTGTTTGATTCCTGTGAGAGGAGCTGGGCTCTTCACGAGACCCCAAAGTGCAGGACAATGCTCCTAATAAGTCACCTTTTCCTTGAAACGTGGCTCTCTTTGATCATAAAGCCCTCCTTTGATGTTTCACTGAAAGAAGGGGGCATGGAGTTTTGGGTTCCTGGGCTGGATAGAATCATCTTCCCATACAAGAACAGGGAATTGTAAAATAAATTTCTCGATTTGTACTGCTCCATGCCGCATACATATGAGTTATGGCATTAGGAACATCACTTCCTCCTTGGCCCTCCTTCCACAGCAAAGAGCACTGTCCACATCAACACTGGTCTTTGCTTGAAGCATCTGGAGAGCGCATTAAAATCCAGTTCAGTACTGTGTACTCTCACCATTAGCTGCTCTTCAGGGTTTGAGACACAGAACATACCTGGAAGTCCTTTTAGCCAGCTCTTCCCTCCCCACTACAGGCCAGTTGGTCTTGCTTTGTCTCTCCTCCAGTGACACAAAGTGCTGCTATTGGCTGGCCAACTGACTGTCTCTTCACTTCACTGGAAACAGGTGCATATTGACAGTCTGGTACCAAGCAGAGACAGGGTGACATGTATCATAAAATCATAGAATAATGGAATTGGAAGGGACCTACAGGGCCATTAAATCCAACCCCCTGCTCAATGAGGGAATCCAGATCAAAGTACGGTAGATCTGACAGATGATTGTTTTTCTAGTATTGGAGCACTCACCTCCTCCCAAGATAATTGGTTCCATTGTCATACTGCTCTAACAGGAAACTTTCCTGAATATTCAGCTGAAACCTGGCTCCCTGTAACTTGAGCCCATTATTATGTGTCCTGTACTCTGGGATGACTGAGAACAGATCCTGCCCCTCCTCTGTATGCTACCATTCAAGCATTTGAAGAGTGCTATCATATCCCCTCAATCTTCTTTTCTGAAGGCTAAACATGCCCAATTCTTTCAGTTTTTCCTCATGGGTCTTGGTTTCCAACTCCATGATCATCCTTGTTGCCCTCTTCTGAACTTGTTTCAGTTTGTTGGCATCGCTCTTAAAGTGCAGTGACCAGAACTGGACACAGTACTCAAGGTGAGACCCAAGTAGTGCCAAATAAAGAGGAACTAGTACATCATGGGATTTGGAGACTGTAGGCGGGGCATAAATAAATAAATAAATAAATAAATAAATAAATAAATAAATAAATAAATAAATAAATAAATAAATAAATAATGCAGGCTAAAATAGCATTTGCCTTTTTTGCAGCCACATCACACTTTTGGCTTATATTCAGCTTGTGATCTACAATTCCAATATCCTTCTCACTCTCAATATTGCAGAGACAAGGATCTCCCGTCTTGTAACTATGCATTCCCCCCAACCCCCAGTATACAACTTTGCACTTATAGCTCTTAAATTTCATTCTGCTGTTTCCAGCCCAGTGTTGAATTGATTGTCCTGTTATCAAAGGGCTGGTTGTAACGTGGAAAAGATGAAAGTCCATCTTCGTGCCAGGTGCGACTGTGATCGGCCTCCACTGCCTTATGATCAGCAGCACATCTAACACCAGGAATAAAAAAACATGGATATCCTGGAGGTAGATGCCCAGTACAGGAGAAAGGTTGCAGCTAATGTAAGTGCTTGATAGTGTCTGTGTCACAGTGGAGAGAGGGGGCAACTGAAATATTGGAAACAGGACTCCTTGATAGTTATGTCAACCTGCTAGTAACCGGTGGCCAGGACTGGCCAGGATCCTACCACTGAACTATGGAGACTATTTCTTCCTCTGATAAAATGCCTGAAAACTTCCCTTTTTATGCTCTTTGTCTTTGTTTTTTTTATCTTTTCTTTCTTATTTTTCTTTTCATAATTTTCATTCAGAAAAAAGTCAAGAATTCCACCCCACCCCCGGATTTTTCAGTTGTAATAAGAACATTGTTTACAAAGCTCCTAGTTCACCAGCCTCCTCTGGGTCTTTCTTTCTTTCTTTAATTCTTCCTTCCTTCCTTCCTTCCTTCCTTCCTTCCAGACCGTTGCACACTTGCACACTTTAAAATTATGGACATGTATGAAATTTAGGCAAAATTAAATACAAATTAAAATGTTAAGATAATTAGACTGCTTTTGACCAGAAATGGGCTACTTCAATACTGTTATCTTCTTTTGTGCATGTGGTGGAGCATGTTGCAGGATCCATTTTGATTTACAAGTTAATAGTTTTCTGAGGATTCTTACATTAAATAGCTCCGTGCATTATTATTTTACCTCTAAATGGGATAATCCAGCCCTTCTCCCTTAAAGATCAGGCAAGCTTTCCCCGAGTGGCTGGCTGCCTAAGTGTTTTGGTTTTTTAAAAGTGGATTGTTATACCTTACTGCTTTTAATGTGTTTTGATGTTGCTTATGTTTCTTGTATGGTATTTGTTTAACTCTGTTTACTATTAGTATGCTCACTGTTGTTAGCTTTTAATGATGTAAGCAGCCTTGGGTCCTTTTAAGGAGAAAGGTGAGGTAAAATGTTTTGAAAGAAAGAAAGAAAGAAAGAAAGAAAGAAAGAAGTATTATGACCATTTTGTTGAGCTTGACCGAAACATCTGCCCCAAAGTCCTGCATCCACAATATCACTGTGACGAAAGCAATAGTTACCACCACATTGAATGCCCATTCAGATTTTGTGTCTCTGAAAGACCCTGTTCCCCTGTATAAGTCCTGTACAGATGTTGAGATCTGCCTTTGTCTCAGTTCCAGCACCTTCAGAGGTGTGCTTGATGAGGATTGTAATTTTAAAGGAGAGGTTTTTTTAATGGCTCTCTTAACTCCATTCTGTTTTAATATGATGGCCGATTTCATTACATTTCAGTATTTACACCAGGAGGAAAAGTGGTACCTTGCCTCTTGAGGGAATTTGCACTCAGGAGAGAATTTGGGGCTTTAGAATTTATACCTGGAGAGTATCTGTGTTCATCCTGGGTGTGCAGGTGAAGTCTATCTGAGGTTTCTTCTCTTGGACTTCTCGGCTCAGCTGGAAGATTTGTTCTTGGTAAATCCTGTATGGAATTGCTGGAGAGTGGACAGAACTCAGAAAAGTTAGTTTTTTTCTACCTGAAGACACATAGCAATTCCTTGAAATTCCAGCCAGCGCTCTAAGATCTGACAAACCTGTTCATAATTCTGATACTGATGTAAATGGACTGGCTGACTGTGGACTTTGCTCAGGGCTGGCCTTGCTATTAGGCAGAGTGATCCATTCACCTCAGATGGCTGATACAAGAAGGTGTAGCAAATGAGAGCTGTCACGGATTCGGCCATGTGCTCCCTAAGCTAAATTGCTGCCTTCAAGTATGGAGAAAGATGCAATCCTATTGTCAGGAATACACACTTGCAAAAAGATTCAACTGAAAATCCAGACAGCTTTTTCACATTTTATATTTATTTTATTTATTTAAAATATTTTTACCTCACCTTTCTCCTTAAGACGGACCCACCATTAAAAGACAATATTAGAAGTTAAAAAAACAGGAAGTATATAATATTAAAAAGGATCAAACAAATGCTACACTTAAAAAATGGCAAACAAAAGCAACATTTTGCACTGAAGGAATGCCATCTTGCTTCTTCTGCTTCAGGCAGCAAATGTCTTAAGCTGGTCCTCCCTCTGCTGTTGATTGGTACAGTATTCATTTCTTTGTGTTGGAGTGGCACAATGTAATGAGAAGATCAACAGTGCCAGGTGATTATGATAATGATGATGATCATCATCATGATGTGTCATCAAGTCAATTCTGACTTATGGGGACCATTTCTGGGGTTTTCCAGGTAGAGAACACTCAGAAGGGCCATTCCCCTCTTCTGCCAGTGCCCTGGGATTGTGCAGTTTGCCCATGACCAGATAGGCTGGCTCTTCTCCGTGGAGGGCCAGGTGGGGAATCAAAGTCTCAATCTCTGGTTCCACAGCCAGATACCTAAACCACAGAGTTATCCGGCCAGCTGCCAAAAGCTATCCTGATAAGCTGTCTTAATCTTCCCCGTCTCTCATCTTCCTAAACAAGAAACAGAAACACACACACGCACATACACACGTGTCCTGGCCTAGGGCACCCACACCCTCCTCATTTGCCGTGAACTGAGTCAGCATCCCACACATATGACCCAAGATGATTTGTAGACGGTGTTGATTCGGAAATGATTTCTTGAGCTGGTTTTCCTGGACTAAAGAGCAGTGGAGTTTGGCCTATCCTCAGAAATGTTGTGCCGTGGATTGCGTCAAGGGTGACAGGGGATTGTTGGAAGTACAGTATAACCCGAAAGCAAATTGCTTAAACCTATTTGAATTCATGGAACTGTACTGGATTTTCATGCATCCAACATGGTAAGTTTTTTTTTAAAAAAAAATAAATTAAAAATAAATGCCATAGTCAGTGATTTTCTATAATTGCTTTGTCAGTGATTTTCTATAATTGACTAGAAAACATTGGTACCGGTGGTGGGAGAAATTATTTATGAAGAAGCAACTGGAGTGATTTGGGGATTTAGGGTTCATAGCCAACTGTGAGCTTATGGCACATTTTTGTCTCTTTTTCATCCTGGACAGCTCAGTGGTTTCGGTCTCTGGCTGTGGAGCAAAGGTTGGGAGTTCAATTCCCCACTGTGCCTCCGTGACAAGGGCTGGACTTTGTGGGCTTCTTCCAGCTTTGCAGTTCTAAATCTAAGAAAATTGTTTCCATTCTAAGCTATGTCTGGATTGACTGGATGAGGCTGAACTAACTGAAACTTACTCTAGTAAAAAAGAGGTGTTCCCAATTAGTTAAATGGTGGTTCAGGGAAAAGGGATCCAACCTATGCTGGATATTAACCTCCTCTTCAAACTCAGGACCATAGCTTAGATGTATTTCTGGACTGAGCCCTGAACCTCGATGCTCAGATTCTGGTGGTACCCAAGAGTAGTTAAAAGGGACATGGTGGCACTGCAGGTTAAACCACAGAAGCCTCTGTGCTGCAAGGTCGGAAGACAAGCCATCGTAAGATCGAATCCACGTGATGGAGTCAGCTCCCGTCGCTTGTCCCAGCTCCTGCCAACCTAGCAGTTCTAAAGCATGCAAATGCGAGTAGATAAATAGGCACTACTTTGGTGGGAAGGTAACAGCGTTCCATGTCTAGTCGTGCTGGCCATGTGACCAAGGAAACTGTTCTCACACAAACGCTGGCTCTATGGCTTGGAAACGGGGATGAGCACTGCACCCTAGAGTCAGACATGACTGGACTAAATGTCAAGGGGAACCTTCACCTTTTGTACAGTTATCGCTAGTCTGCTAGCTGTGCCCATTCCTGAAGAAGTCTAACCTGGCCAGACTGACACATACGTCAGTTACAGCATGTTTGGATTAATGTAACACTCTCAGTGTGGAGCTGCCTTTGGAAGGTGTTATTCAGAATCTCAAGCAGGTCCAAAATGTCACAGCCATGTGCAGATCATGACCAATAAAAGCCCTGTATGGCTTAGGGCCAGGCTATCTGAAGGACCTGTCTTTTCATATAAGCCTGCCCAGGCCACCAGAGGCCTTCCTGTCTCACCATCCTTGGTAGCTGCTCCCAGGATACAAAACTCCCTTGCTAGGCTTAGCCCTTTCCCTAGCATTTCTTCTGTCACCAGCAAAGACATTGGTATTTAGATAACTCTTTGGTCTCTGGTGGATGGTGAAGGCAGGTGTTGAACTTTTTTTTGTCTTGTTTTAAAATGGCAAAATTATTGTTAATTTTATAATTTATTTGGCAGCACTGAAATTCTGTATTAGTAATATTAATACATGCCCTAAGTTGCCTTGGATCCTACAAAGGAGAAAGATGGAATGAATGAATGAATGAATGAATGAATGAATGAATGAATGAATGAATGAATAACAAACTAAATATTCTTTTTCATATCACTTACATAGATAAGGAATCAGCTGTATCACCTGCTACCTTTCTTGGCCTCCTGCGTCCTCTATTTTGCCCTCAGTCTCCTCGAACCCAGTGTGCTGAGCACTGTTGTCAAATGCCTCCCAACACTCTCTTTGGCGTTCTTTGTGGCTGTCCAGTCCCACAGTACCGGAGCCTGGACGCCATATAGCCGGCGGTTATTTCAAGGCCTGCTGTTCTCAGTGGCGGGAGATGCCTGTTTGGTGTGGCCACAGCTTTTTCTTCCAGGTATGAGGTTTGAAGGGGCCTGACAGAGCTGAGGTCCAGAGGCCTCAGTGCTGATCATTTAAATGCAGTTGATTATTTAAATGTTGATCATTTAAATGCAGACCTGTGTCTCCCAAGCTCTGAATAGGAGAAAGGCAGGACACAAGATCTTGTTTATTTTGCATAATTCTTGACTTTAGCTGATCTTATCTGATGTTAATTAAATGTTAATTAAAGCAACTATCCAATAAGACGCTTACCTAAAACAGCTGTTAAACTGCAACCTGCTTATAAGAGCAGTCTATGGTAACTTCTAAGATTAATAACCATTAATAAAGTTTGAATCAAAAGTGCAGTGCCTTGGCTTATTATATCTTAGGAAGATCAAGGAAGCACATTTCTTTCGGAATTTGGAAGGGGTATTAAATTTTCAGTACCAAGGAATGGGAGGCTGAGACCCTGAAAGACACCCTCTTAATTTATTAAGTAACATATTTCCGCTGATGCGGAAACTTCAAGTGGTGCAGAATGCGGCGGCCAGACTCCTTACTGGAGTGAGAAAATACCAACATATCTCTCCTACTCTGGCCATGCTGCACTGGCTGCCCATCCATTTCCGCATTGACTTCAAAGTGTTAATGCTTACATATAAAGCCCTAAA